AGAATTTGTCGTTTTGCCAGCCAAAAAGTGGGATTGAACCTGTGAAAAGTGGTTTCTTTGTTTCAATCAGTAAAATTGCGGATTTAAGAATCAAACATCTGTTTATGACCAGCGAAAATGGACACTGAAACCATGTGAAACACATTAGACTGATGGGATGTAAATCTTTGCTTTATGTTGGTCTTTCGGCTTTCCGGATGTGTTTCAGACTTTCCAAGTTCAATCCTTATGTGATGATCCAGTCCAGAAGTGGAAAACAAGAAAGGGGTTAGGATCTACTTCTGGTTGGTGGTTTCAATCCCTCTGAAGAATAATATGATTCTCAATATATGGAAAGTCATAAAATTCCATGGTTCCAAACCACCAACCAGACTTGGTTGTTCAACCACTTCAGTAGGCTTTCTCTAGGTTTATTCCAATTTTCAACCAATTATAACTAGGGAAACCAGCCATGGGTAGCCCTTTCACCTACTGGCGAGCCGTGAACCACCAAGTACCTGTCATAGATTCCTGGTTGGTGGTTGACCTACCCCTCTGAAAAATATGAGTTCGTCAGATTGGATCATCATCCCAACTATTGGGGAAAATAAAATTCATGTTCCAAACCACCAACCAGATTCTTTAGATTCTTAGATGCTTTGCAAAAAACGGTGAGTTTTTTGCTAGCTGCGCAAATTGTCATAATTCGCGATTCACTAAAATAAGCCCTAAAATAGGGATAATTCCCCTATTTCAACCACTATTCCAGTGAGGTCTCAGCGAGACTCGTTATATAATTTACCCAACTTTTCCTGGTACTCTCTGGTAATTTGTTACAATTCGCTATTGAAAATTGCACATTTATAGTTGATTTACCGAACTTAAAGATGGTGATTTTCCAGTTCGCGAAGTGTCAACGTTGACCAGAGGGTACTCCTCATGTACTAAAGTAGCCATCCGATCAGCTGCCCAACTGTCTAAGCAGGGATCTGTCTGAAAATTGGGCACTATGAAACACTAAGGGACTTAAAACTTATGGGATTTTGCCCATCTACATCCATCTACCAACTGGTGCAGGATTTATTCCATCCACAGTAGCCATGGAAAATGGCCAGAGCTCATAGGTAAACCGTTTGCAAATGGACTATTTCAATGGATATGGACTAATATGGACACGAATGAATGGTGATTTAATGGGCATATAATAGGGATATAGCCAACAGAGATAGAATTATACAGACATCAACTTATGATGAAGTATACTGTATGTAGATGTAATGGTGATGTCATGCAAGTAAATGATGATATACTGGGGAATAATTGGAATATATATATATATAATATATAGATATGACGGTGATAGAATTAAGACATAACAGCTACATAGGCCAAAAAAAGAGTTTTGGAGGTGTGCAAGAAGGGGGATGCCTCAACTTGTTTCAGGAATCCCAATACTATCCAATACTTACCAACTGGTGCAGGACTTCACAACCATCCACAGCTATGGAAGCCATGGCCCAGCTCGATGATTGGTGTCCACAGCCATTGAAATAGCCAATTTGTAGATGATTTACCTATAGAATATTGATGTTCAACCTGATGTTCAAGCGCAGCCCTCTCGGAGAGGAAGAAAGTTGGAACGATACCAGAATTCAATCTGATTCCACGACCTGTTGCAAATTCTACATCCGCGGTGCGTAGAATTGCTGGAAATTTCCTTGGATCTGTGAAGGCCACGGGTACCCACTGGGTCCCGTTGTACTTCACTCGGCAGCACACGGCAAGAGATCTGTCAGATCTGTCCCATTTCCGGCCTGAACCGGTGAAGAGATGCAAAAAGAGCCGAGCTCTGCATGAGGATATAGAATATTATGAACCATGGTATTTTTCCCATGGCTATGTTAAAGAACCAAAGAGTAAATGTTGCCCTTTTCCATGTGTCCACCCTTGCTTCGTCACATCACAGGTCCCCGGGCGTCGTCCCTTGTTCAAGCGCAAGGTGGCGTCGTCGAAGAGCCGCTGGCCACCTGAATCTTCATACGATCGTCAAGGCTCCCGAGAACGAGATCGCTAAGTTGGTGCCAGTAACTATAAGCTTATGGTATACACATAGATATATATATAGATAGATAGATAGATAGATAGATAAATAGATAGAGAGATAAATAGATAGATAGGTAGGTAGGTAGATAGATAGATAAATAGATAGATAGATAGATAGATAGATAGATAGGTAGGTAGATAGATAGATAGATTAGATTAGATTAGATTAGATTGGATCAGATTAAATAAGATAAGATTGGATTAGATTAGATTAGATAGATAGATATATAAGATAAGATAAGATAAGATTAGATTAGATTAGATTAGATTGATAAATAGATAGATAGACAGATAGATAGACAGATAGATAGATAGATATATAGATAGATATATAGATAGACAAGATAACAAGATAACATAAAAATAAGATTAGATTAGATTAGACTAGATTAGATTAAGATAGATTAAGATATATTAAAATTCATAGATCGATTGATTGATTGATATATATATAGATAGATTAGATAGATTAGATAGAATAGATAGAATATATATATATAATATAATGGGGTTTGTAAACCAAACTATAACTGGGGGGGGCACCACCTAATATGGTGTATAGGGGACATAACTCCTGGGGGTTGGTTAAAGTTCCACTTGAACATCACCCAACAAAAAGGGAATATGGATATGACCTCCAACAGATACGACTGAAGGTGATGTTCAAATCCTCAAAATGGAATATTTACCAACAGCAACCAAACATGAGGGTTCATAGGTTTTACTCAACGGAAATGGATGGGACTGAAAACGGAGGATGCCCCAAAAAGGCAATTTCGATATAAACATATTATGGAATTTTGCAGCATGGAATTTTGGATACCCTGCTTTCAGACAAACCACATTTGGGTGTTTTTTTTTTGTCAGGGCTTCATATCATGTGGGGCCTCCAAGATCAGTTGGAAATAACTAGGTTTACAACATGAGTTACCCTCATACAAAAGGCTATTGAAGCCAAAGCCCATAGAAATAGTTGATTTACCGAACTTAAAGATGGTGATTTTCCATAGCTATTTTAAATTACCAGAGGGTATGGTAGATATACTGACATCTCTCATCGCTAGATGGGGTTATAAACCACCAAACCGAGCTGCTGGGGAGCACATTCGGGTGAAATTACCATGAAGTTGTACTTTCAAGAAGGGATATAAAATGACATAAGTGTAAACAAGGAATGCACAGACGTGCTCATCCATGTTTTACATCATCATCATCATCATCATCATCATCCTCAAGATTATCCTACATTATCCCATTCCCCCACACTGTTTAAGGGGTCTCACGACGCAATCATCCCACTGTGCTGCACAAAAGCGATCCCATCCTATCAGCGCCTGCAGAGATTGAGAACCTCTCTAAGTGCAAATCGACGGCTCCTTAAAGGCCGCCGCGGCGGAGTCTGATCTGCCACCAATGCCATACTATGCCATACTGTGTGAAAGCCCGATTTCTAGCTGTTTTAGAATGGGTTTTCTTATGGGGTCATCATGAACCATAAATGGGGTGACTTACTGACTTATACCGCTTATACCTGGTATTTCGGGCCATAACTGTATCAATGTATAGCATATTATAGGGATGCCTGAAGTGTCAATGGAAAGTAACCAACAAAAAGAAAGATAAATATGCTCAATCAACATCAATTAACAAACATGACACAGACTTAGCCAAGCAAAATAGGAAAACCCATTAACCCAGGTGATCTCAGATCCATGGGCAGCTGGGGTTATCTCATCATTCCCCTAAATTGCTGTATATAATACCCTCTGGTAAACTAACATAGCTATGGAAAATCACCATTTTTAATGGGAAAATCCACTATTTCTATGGTCATTTTCAATAGCTATGTTAAATTACCAGAGGGTAGATCCATTCACCTGAAATCTGAACGACCAAAAATTCTCCGCTGAAATCGTGTCCCTGGACCCATCTATCTCCAGCTATGCATTGGTTTTGTTGGGAAAATCTTCACTGGGTTTACAATGTCTGGTTGGTGATGGTGGTGGTGCGTTTTAACCATCTCGAAAAAATATATGAGTTCGTCAATGGGGTTGGGATGACATCCCATATATGAAATGGAAAATAAACACTGTTTGAAACCACCAACCAGATGTTTTTTTTTTTCCCATGACATATGGGGGTGTTCCGGATTCAACATGTCTTTCAACCAATCGATTGAACCAAACTGATCAACGCCGAAAAAAGGAGGCCGTATCGGTGCCTCAATTTTGACTCACACTCCAACCCCTCAACCATCAAACCAAGTTTCACTCAACGATGGCCAATCTTGCAAGGAAATTGGCTAGTACAGCAAATCACTTGTGGCAAAACAATGACATTTTGAAGTACCGAAAGGAGACCCCAATATATATAATAATATATATATATAATAATATATATATAATAATATATATATAATAATACATATATATATATATATAATTATATATATACATAAATATCTGTTAGGTTGGTTGGTTATTGTTCACCCATCCGCAGATCCATGAGCCATGAATTCCACGTTGTCCTGCTGCAGTGCTTCCGGATGGCAGGGAAACGCTAAAAGCCCGGAGGTCCTGGCGGGACTCGCGTTTCGGGACTCGCAAATGATGAAAACAGCTCAGTTTGTGCCAATAACCTCAATAGCTCTTCAGTATAAACATGTATAAACCAACTTGTATCTGGGTCCCCCATCTTTGGAGGCTAGCGATTGGACTACTGGATATGATGGATCTATGATTCAATGATCGTTTTCCACATGAATTTTGCAACAGGGAATGACCCAACTGGCCCAAGAAAAACACATCTGTCACATCCGTTTAACGTTTTTCGTTTCACGTTTTTCGAAATGATGCATATTTTCAACCAACACAGTACATATTAAAATTGCATGATTTTATTGGGAAAACACAGCGATTTCAATCCGAGAGGGGGGTCCAAGCGTCCAAGCCGCAGCAAGGCCCAGGAATGTGACGCCACTGAGAAGCGTGGCGTGGTGTGGCTTTTCCCCTTGGAAATATATATATATATATAAATCACTAGAGTGGGGGTTGAATCACATCATTAAAATCACCATGTTGAAGCTTCAATCACCGTTTTTAGGGTTTGAATCAGAATTTTCGTGACTGAAAGTGCAATTTTGTGTATGTTAATTAATTGAAATCGCTTGAAATCATACAAAACTTCTAGAGTCAATCACCTTCAGAGGCGGTTTACATCACCAGTTCTTGGAGCTTTCCTCGTCGAGTTGTGCCACTTCATCCCCCAACTCTTCTCGTTTCGAGCGTTGCTCCTGCGGCAGGTGGAGTAGGATGTTTCGAGGGGCGTCGACGTTTGAAAGATGGAAGAATCCAGAAATGAGGGATGTCATCAAAGATACTTAAGGTGATTTATTCATATTTATTCCACTTAGTAAGTGGGTTATAACATGTTAGTTCACCCCAGTTTTTTTAGTGGATCAACCCTACTGATCCCATAAAAAGAACCAGGGATATAACCTACTTAGTAAGTGGGATGAGCCACCAAGTAGGGATTTAACATGTTTTTTTTTAAGTATAATATACTTAACAAATAACGACAGGGATGTCGCCAACAAAAAAAGGGATTTTACATGATCCAACTAACAAAAAACAGGGATTTCACCAAGAAAAATAGGGATGACATGTTCACAAACATGGGGATTTTTTAGCACTGAGATCTCTTCGCCAGGGAAATTTTAGCACCTTTGGGATGCCAGTTGTTTATTGGTAAAATTGGTAATTGTCCGTAGCCATGCTAACTTGCCAGAGGATATTCATGAGAAGGGAGAATTAAATGAATATAACCATTGGTACAATTGATTACTTGACCAATAACTAGTGGGGTACAATGCTAAGTGTATTAATGATTATCCATTGATATCCAAATGTTGGGAGACTAATGGACTCATCATTTACTCATCATTTACTAATGTAGGTGAGGATTAATGAATGATGAGCTAAACTTCAAGGAGGCATGCAACCTATGTAGACAAATGAGATAAGAATGCATGTGAAATATTTAGGGGGAGAGCATACGAGTACTATGTAGATAGAGTCGCGCGAAACAGGACATCAACGGACTAAACCTGCAGAGTCGCTAGCGCAAAAACCCCTATCATACCAGGCTGAAGCTGCAAACAATAGCTAAGCAATAGCAAACAATTGGTGCCAATAACGTCAATAACTCTAATCTAATCACTGTATCAACTATATCAACTATGGGGGATCAACTATAGTTAAATAATGTTAAATATATCAACTAAGGCTTATGGGGGATCTAACTATATTAACTATAGTTGGTGGGGATCATAAACCAACTTACTGAGGGACGCCTCATCGTATCCATGAATCCATTGTAATCAAGGCTGCTCCAACCTTTGTGCTCCCTGGTGGTAAAGCAATTTCTGTGGATTCAACATGATTCATCTCTATCATGGCAAGTCTTAGGTACATTGCAAAACAATGAAACATAGAAATCCTTACTTTTTGCGGCAAAAGACCACATTAATGATCATTAATGTATGCATCCAAAGTTGACCCAATTATCTACGAACACAATCAATATCTATTTGATGAGTTTTCAGCATGGAAGCGTTGACGACTTTTTACCCCCTTTCATAGTAATTAATCTTGCAAACTTAGCCAACCTGCAGCTTTCTCTTGTTGCTGAGCATGAATGCTGGGACGTGGTCGGCTCATTTCTAAAGAGTCTAAAGAGCAAACCAGAAAGTTTCCCACCTATATCCACCTATGCGTGAAAGTTTTGCGAAAACCTTTCTGGTTTCAGTTTTTAATAATCCGGAAACATGGAACAAATCAATCCATATCTAACAGGAGATCATCTTAATTTCTGGCCACCATCCCATTTTTTTGTGGCTTATGAAATTGGGGAAAAACCAGATACCCGGCCCTCGGGATGATTAAGAATTGTATATAATCGTTTACTGGACGATATACCAAACAGTACCAAACAGTCATGCCACAAGATGATGCCCCTGAACGAAACCGTGTTCAGTTGGTGCCAATAACTCCAATTGCACAATGGTTTATGATACTTATAACTTCTTATAACTATAGTATTCATGGGGTCTAAAAACCAACAAACATACATTTCATGTTTCGGAGACCCCACCTTGTACCAGCGCCAAATCATGCCAAATCCCAAGTGTTCACCCCGTTCGTTCACTTCGTCCTGCTCTTCGGCCTCTTCCTTTTGTTTCTCCAGGTATTTCGCGTAGACTCTACGCTCCTGGGGATTGGAAGAGGGCCCTAGCCACGCATCACAAAGCAAATGTTATTGATTCTCAGACCTGACACATGATTCCATTGTCTTTAATATTTTTATCTGGATGAGTTCTACAAGAATTCCAACAAACTGGACAAAATACCATCACATTCATATTCCCCTGACATTGAAGGTTCTTTTTGTGGGCTGGTTCCCCGATGTTCCCCGAAGAAAATCACCAAACTTTTTGAATCTGTGGACTTGGCCAGCGAGGTCCTGAGCTCATTTTTTAAATGGCTGATTTGTCGTTGAAAAAAAACAATTCATGGTTACCCTCTGGTAAACTAACATAAGTATGGAAAATCACGATTGTTAATGGGTAAATCAACTATAAATGGCATTAAATGGCCATGTTTAATAGCTATGTTACATCACCAGAGGGTAAATCATGTTGAATCAATATTGGTTATT